CACACACACACACACACACACACACACACACACACACACACACACAATAATAATAATTTCTTAATAATAAAACCAACCAGAAAGATTGAATAGCTTATCAGCTATCCCCAACTTTGTGGTCCAAAAATGTTTTTGAATACAGTCCTCATGTCTTCTAGCCAAAAGACAAGGATAATGGAAGTTACACAACAGTTTAGTGATGGGACGAGCCTTTGAGAAAAGCAAACTTGGCTCAATGATCTCCATTTCGACAGACATCCCAGTTTGTCCTACAGCTTTTATCCAATGGGCTGTAGGTTCTTCTAGAGTAGGAGTCAAACTGTTTAGAGAAGAGGTTAAGATAAATTATTATGGCAGAAATACTTACCTTCATCATGATAAACAGTTCCATTCACTTCAGGTCATCCAATACAGATTCAAAAGTATGCAACGTTTTATTGGAAAAAGAGCGATACAGACTGTATCAATAAGTACAAATGAATGGATGTGAAAACTAATTTAAAAAGCTGTACGTTTCGAGTATAAAATGTCCTTTCCTTAATGTCTACACTCTTCAAACTGTATATGGTGCACTTAACATGTTTTGATAAGTGTAACCTAGTATATATTTGCCTGCAGTTTGGAAGAGAACAAAGCTAGCAGTAAACCTTTAAAAAAATACCCCTTAAGAAAACCTCTAAGCCGACAGTTGCAAATGTTGCCAGCAGGGTCTCTTTGTGCGCGACCTTAACAAATTACTCTAGGTGATCTTTTATTGCCATGGATTCTAATCAATAAATAGAGAGAAAAATAATAAATAGGTCATAGAGAGTCTATTTCAATCCGAGACCCCCAGTTTTGAATGTAACACTGCAAGAAACCGTTGTGTTATAATTTAAAACCGATGAAAGTATAAATTCTTTATCCAACACTGAAATTGTGGCTGTGGTGGGTTTACAAAAACTACACACATAACACATTTTAAAAACAATGCAGGGTTATTTTCAGGTAGAAAATACTGAGCAGAAAAAAACCCCACCTAGCAGTTCTATTAAAGTCCCCGTAAAATCCTAACGGAGAAATTGGTTTGTTCTAAATCCTGTTACCTAATAACCAAATCCAGTCCTCCTTTAGCACAAGGTACACAACATTAAAAATTTTGTACTTGGTTTTTTGAAAAAAAAAAAATAATACAAAAACCTCCTGCCTTGAAACTGCACACAAATCTGTCGGAATAGAAAAGCAGAAGCCAACCGGCACCCCAGCCTCTGTGATTAAATGTGTGTCCCTGGCAGAGATATTCAGATACATGGCAAATGGAAAAATTCACTGGAATTTGCGTTCACATCTGTAGTGTATTGGGGCACACGTGTGAAAACCGAGGAACAGAAAGCAAGAGGAGTCAAAGTCTTCTCCATCTGGAACGTCCTTTCTCGTGAAGCAGGTAAAATAGTAGCTAGAGAGGATCTTTTTGGATCAGGAATAAATAGTAATGACTTCTCGGCCACCTCCTCGAACAAGTAAGACTCGCTCCAGACCTTCCGTTAAAACTTCAAGAAATTCCATGTCTGGATCAGAGAGTTAAGGAGAAGAAATCATCAAACTATATGTATATATAAAAATAAATGACTTTCCGTGTGTGTGTATGTTCCAGCATAACTCTGGAATGCCTCAAGCAATTTCAACCAAACTTGGTACACAGATGACTTACTCTCTGGAAAAAAAAAATACTGTGGGGGTCTGTTAAGATACAACCTGTTGTGCCTTAAAGTCTCTTCTACTGTACTGCCTTAAAATGTCTTCTACTGTACAGGGGGTTGAACTAGAAGACCTCCAAGGTCCCTTCCAACTCTGTTATTTTATTCTACTCTATTCTATTCTACTCTATTCTAATCTACTCTATGCTACTCTATTTTATTCTACTCTATTCTATTCTACTCTATTCTATTCGCAACATTAGCAGATATGCAGGTAGTCCTTAACTTACAACAGTTTGTTTAATGACTGTTCAAAGTTACAACGGCAGTAAAAAAGTGATCTACGACCAGGTTTCACACTTACGACCACTACAGTATCCCTGTGGTCATGTGATCAAAATTCAGACTAATTCGTATTTATGACAATTGTAGTGTTCCAGGGTCATGTAACCCTTTTGTGACCTGACAAGCAAAATCAATGGGGAAGCCAGATTCACTTAACAACCATGTTACTAACTTGACAACTGCAGTGATTCACTTAACAACTGTAAAATGGGGCAAAATGCAATTAACAAATGTCTCACTTAGCAACATAACTTCTGGGCTCAATTGTGGTCATACGTTGAGGACTACCTTTATACAAGGCTCATAAAATAAACACACGCAAAACATTCGGAAGTGCTGTGGAAGGATTTTTTTTTGCCTTTTATGGAACTCCGTGATAATCCAGTCTGCTGGATCTCAATAATATCAAGCTTTGAAATAGTGTGATGACATACAGCTTGTTGCATTTGACACCTTGTCTTTGCAAGCTGTGAGATCAATTGTTATTAAACTGCTTGATGGACCTGAAGACTAGCTGAAGAAACCAACAATTCACTTGGAAAACCAGCCTCAAGCAAGAAAGCCCCAGAATAATTGCTGTTAACATTTGTCAAAATTCTGGAATCTGTATCTTATCAAATATGTTTGTGTGTGTGTGTGTGTGTGTGTGTGTGTGTATATATATATTTAAAACCGATGGTATAGATCTATTTCAAGCTATTTAGCTCTCATCAGCTAGCCATACCCTTACTGAGATTAGAACCTGTGCTGTATTACATATTAGGCAGTTGTGTTAACGACTAAGCCACAAGGTTCTCCTCCTTTATCAGCTGAGCCAGGGAAATAGGTATGTTTTTATTTATATGGTTGGTCTCTTGTGACGAGCCATA